CTGAACCACACACTTAAATTTTTTTATTATTTTTTATACTTATTAGCACAAGTGTTTTAACATCTCGCTCACTGTAAAACGAGATAGCCTTTAGGAAACCGAAAAATTAGTCAAATATTAGTGAATATCCTTATGAGGAAGGTAATTACTATAGTAAAAAAAACAAAGGCTATATACTACTTTTTTTAACAATAAAATTACAAAAATAAAAATAAAAAAATTACCCAATGTACTGAATATCCTTAAATATATCATTGGGCCGATAGTCCACCTGTTGCTCCATCATAGTATGATATTGGTCGCTTTGAGATAGGCTCGCACGGTTTTATTTTTTGGACTCCTTCCCAAAAAGTCTCATACTATATGGAATGGTGAACACCCTTATAAACTAGTCAATGTTCCTTTATTTTACAGATGTGAGACTTGGAATGAATCCCAACATATATAGATTGTAATTTGTAAATAACAATGTATGCCTCGGCGAGAGAAATTAATTCTGGGTGTTGTTCAAAATAAACATGTAAAACATAGTTCGAAGAGAAGGAGAATTATGTCAAGTGCTTAATTCATTGAATAAGTAAACGGCAATGCTTAAAGTACAGTTCACAAACAGTTTGTGATGGAGGCAGGATTTACAGCGCAGTGCAGAAGGAAGGTTTTTTTGTGGTCAGACAAAATTGCAAAAGACATAATAAACATGACATGAACACACACTTGTTATTGGACTACAATTTCACAACACATGATACATATCAGAGTGCCACTATTTCTGAGGCTTCTTCCACAAGACCCCAATCTTCTTCAGCATGTTGCTATTCTTCTTTCTCTGCAAGTCATCATCCATGTCTTCAGCATAGGGTGAGCACTTGTAGCTGTTGTTGTCCAAAGACACGGTTCTCTCTGTGATCTTCCCATTGCTTCCTGCTGAAAGCATAGTAGCAGCAGCCTCTGCAGCCTTCCTCCACTGATCAGACTGCACCTTCAATCTTCTCAGTTCTGCTTCCATTTCCGAGTTCGCTGCTTGCGCCGCCTCTAGCTGCTCAGCCACCCTTGCAGCCTTCTTGTTGCTCTTATCAGCCTCCTCCATCACAATGCTGAGTTTCATGTGCGCCTCGCGTTCCGAAGCCTTAGCTCTTTCCACTTCTGCTGCAACTGAAAGCATAGTAGCAGCAGCCTCTGCAGCCTTCCTCCACTGATCAGACTGCACCTTCAATCTTCTCAGTTCTGCTTCCATTTCCGAGTTCGCTGCTTGCGCCGCCTCTAGCTGCTCAGCCACCCTTGCAGCCTTCTTGTTGCTCTTATCAGCCTCCTCCATCACAATGCTGAGTTTCATGTGCGCCTCGCGTTCCGAAGCCTTAGCTCTTTCCACTTCTGCTGCAACTTCTTCACTCAATTTTCCACCACCTGAGAGCTTGTTGATTTCCATCTTCAGCATTTCATTCTCTTCAGATATGCTTTGCAGGGTTGTTTCCTTGTCCATCATATCTGCCTTCAATTCCACCACACAGTCTTCTAATCTTTGAATTTCCCTTTTATGTTCATGCTCATTTTGGGATGACAAGCTCTCTGTAAGCTTTAGGATCAAGTTCTCATTCTCCTCCACAATGCCTTGCAACTCAGTTTCTTTGTCCATTAGGTTAGCCTTCAACTCTTCAATATCAGCTTTCTTACTTTTCAACTCAGCCTCTAGCTCACACTCCCTCTGACCTGATTCTGATTTTATCTGCTCTACTAACTCATAGGCATGCCTGATCTGCACCGCGCTTTGAATCTGTTGTTCTTGGTATTTAGTCTCAGCAGTCTCTATAGCAGATCTCAGGTATTTAACCTCTGACTTCAATGAAGCAACTTCTGCTTCTAGCTGATTAGTATCCTCTCCCTCTTTCAATATTTCAGGTTGGTGCTCAAAATTATGATCATCCTTTTCAGAAGGGGCGGATTTATTATTGATGGGGTGTGTCTCAAGTTTGCCAACAAGTTCCTCTAGTGAGTTCACCCGCATTTTGGATTGGTCTAACTCTAGAGCAATAGAGTTGTAGCCATCAACAGCTTTTGCAACATCAGACCTGAGGAGCTCAACAGTTCCTTTTGCATCCTCAAGTTGCAACATGGTTTCATTGACCAATGCTTGGGCCTGAGCTTCAGATTCTTTGCAATCCATCAATTGGTTTTTCATGTTGTCCACAAGAGAGAGTGTTTCTGACAAGTACTGCTTCAGGTTTAGTAGCTCAATGTCTGCTGATTCTGCATGTTGAGATTGCACATTCTCACAACTAGCTACCAATTCAAGTTGGGCATTGAGCATCTGAATTTCATTCATTGCAGAGGCCAAGGCAGCAGAGTCAACTGAGAGCTGCTTTTTGGAGGCCTCAAGCTCAGATTGACATGCCATGTCACGTTCTTCTATAATTTTCTGGAGCTCAACAACACGAGCTTCTCCAGCAGCACAGAGATCCAGAACTTGTTTCTGTGACTCTTCAAGTTTTGCAGATATGGCTAATAGTTGTTCCTTGGACACCTTAGCATCTTCCAGAGCTTGCTTCTTGCTTGATTCAGATAAAATAAGCTGGTCCTTTACCTTCTTCAAATCATTTTGGAGTTGAGAAATTTGAGATTCCAATTCCGATATTTTGCTGGGGCGCTTCCTCTAATGCAGCATAAAATCACGGTTTAAAATTCTCCACAAATATCAAGAATAGGAAAATTGTGATGTACAGACAAATTGTAGAAAACAACACACCATAGTGGTGCATCTTCTAAGTAGAACAAAATTGAAAAATGACGCAAGATAACTTATACCTTAGAGGCTCTGGAACATATACACACAAGGCTTTCACGCGTATATATGTACAATGTCAAACGCACAAATAAAAACAATAACAAGTAGTTATATGACACGCCAGTAGTTTATTCTACTCACTCTCTTCAGTGATATGAATACTCTTAAAATGTTTATGCATATAATCCTTTAAAAAGGTCCCTTTATTACCCATCCAGTAAATAGCTTAAGTGCACTAGGACAATCTACATCCTAAAATGAATTTAAAGTAAGCTTCAGACAAATAGTTAACAGCACCCATCAACTGGTACTTTCGAAAGGAAAACCTGGAAACAGTCCCATACTACACTTGAAAACACCTTTGGGGCAGCTTCTTTCATAAGCTACTAAAATATCAAAGGAAAAAATGCATCTAGGGATTATGGTTCTCATTGACAGACAACAGTTCCAACATATCATGATATTTGTAAAATAATTGTTACCTCAATAATTGGGCTTCTGGGTGATCTGCGCTCAGTGACTTTGGGACTTCTTTCCTTTGATGATTTAGTAGCCTGACTTAAAGAAGATACAGAGTCTGTGTCCAGAGTAGTAGGCCTGAGTTGGCGCACAGCACGTGGAGACACCTTTTGAGGCACTTCAGAGGAGCCACTTCTGAAATCAGAATATACAAATGTAAGCAAGTGAATTGCATTGTGGGGAAGGGAAATCCATATCTCTCAATTTCTACTCATAAATACCTTGTAGCCATATTAAACAATATCCCCACAGTCACATCGTAGTAGCAATTTCTTTAGATGATATAGAATTGAGACTAGATAAGTCGAACCATTTTTCAAGACTAATTTAAAAATACACAAATACTGGCTAAAGAAAACGAAGTAATTGAGTGCAAAAACCACGTGAGAATGATTCAGAAAGTCTTCCTAATATAACATAGAGTCATTAACGTTATAAATTCAGTTAGAAAATGAAAAATGCCTTCTAAACACAAAATAGAAGACTCTTAAAAGTTTACAAGAAAGTTTTCCTAATAGTATAGCATAAGAGTCACCAACGTCATAAGTTCAGTTTGAAAATGGAATGTCTACCAAACACAATTGAAATTTTTTCTACAAATTACAAGAAAGTCTTCCTATATAACTTGGGTGTCATCAACTACATAAATTCAGTTTGAAAATAAAAATGTCTTCCAAGCACAAACAGTGAGATACTTTCGACTATTAATCAACAAGGTGATTAACAGTGTATTTTCGGTTACAAATTTCTACTAATTGGCAGAGAATCTTGGTCTTTCAAGATATATCATCACCATTGCTCAATGCAGTTAGTTGGTGCTACATGCTGCCCCAACCAAATGATGTGATGCTTTTTAATTTTGGTAATCATTTGGGAGAGAGAAAAAAAAAAGTAATAATAAGGTTGTTGATCCATGGAAAAATCAATGTTTTGTGACTCCTCATTAGAATAGGTAATAACTGCCCGGTCCCAATCTCCCATTCCGCGGTTAAAGGGAGGAGTCAAATAACGAAACATAATGGAACCAAAAAAGAAACTCGTAGTGGGAATGTGGCATGATTAGGCCTTTTGGAGACAAATATGCTTAGCCATCAAACTCTTTCTTTCTTAAAACACAAATTGACCTAACTTGTCTGCCAGATAGATCAATAACATATTATTTTGGTAAACTCAATACTCCTCTTTGGTTGAAGAGTAATGTTATCTTGATTAGCTTTCAGCAATTGATCATATTTCAAGATAAATTCTCCAGCAAAATTAATATTGCATGAGATCTTGCATTGCGCATGTTGAGACGCAAAGAAACACCAGAAGCATTCTCTACCGTGGCCAATAGAGATTTTTTTAGAACGAGAAAAGGCAAAAGAAAATAAAAGGAAGCTTAACTCCCAACAAATGTCCACTAACAGCAAGTGTCCCAAGCTTGAAGCCTGAAGGAGGAGACTTGACGAACATTTGGTCCACTAATTGCTGTTAGCGACATGAAAAATAAATATAAAGCCTATTATTGATTAAAATTTTCTCTTCTATTTTTGAAATACTAAATGACACTAAATTTTAATATATGAGAAAATAGTGAAATAAAACACATATCAAGTTAAACAATACCACTGAGAGCTGATATAGCTTTCTAATTGCATTTTAAGAGCAGACATCCTTTTGAACTAGCAAAGAAGCAACATTAATAAATCAGGAAAAGAGCAAGGGAAAAAAAATTCAAGTTACCTTGTTTTCGGGGTCTGCATGGCTTAACTACCCTCTATCAAGTAAAGAGAAATGGGTTAATAATTTGATCCTCACTCACTGCTTGAATGCTCCCTGACCCACAAGGACTGTGGCAATTCAGACAAATATCTCACACTGAGACAAGAGAATCCAATGAGAAGGTTCAGTTGTTCAAATAATGGGAAAAAAAATAAATGTGTTCATGCAAGATGGGATGATCTTCTTATCTTCACCGCCTTAGCTATAAATGCAGAAGATTTCCTCACTGTGATTTTCACTTAAATGCTTAAAAAGCACCTTAACCTTACTAGTGACTAAGTACCTAAAAATATCACTACTTTTTCAAGATAGTTAATAAAGAAAACCCTTCATAGATTTTCACCGGATTTCACTATAGTTCACTCCATCCTAAATAAAAGCAGAATGTGTCAAAAGATATCACTAGAAAGGTGTGTGCAGGTAGGGGGGATGGGCACCACTATCAAAGGATGGAAAAATAAAAGTCAAGCAGATTGGCATTAATACAAAATGTCAAGCAGAGGTCCACACATGAGGGAAATTGTTCTCATTACTACCAACTGATGCTATGATAAGGTCTTTCAGGCTAACAAGCAGCCAGTAATGATCAAGAGGGGCCTACAACTACAACAACAGAAAATGATGAAATTACATAGGTGCCCATAATCTCCCCCATCTCAAATACAAAATACCAATTTGCCCCTATGTGCTAATGAACCAATTTCATCCCAAACTAGAGGTGACAAAATGCGTGAGGTTTGCAGAAAAAAAAAATGTAATGCTAGGCTTTAAATGTTTGAATTAAATGCGGATTTTTTAGCTCGATATGAACAAAACACCTGACAAAAGCACGAAAAAAAATAAAAATTGAGCTTTAATCGGAAAGTTTAGGCTTCATTTTGGAGACCCAATTTGAATCTAGACTATCTAAGTCTGACCTACTATAATCCACAGCCCACAATGGGTTGGATAACTCATTTTGAAACCTCTATTCTCATTCATACATGTACAAGGGGCATTATAGTAAAAACACAAAATTTTCTAAGCCCCCATTTTTGCCGTGAAAGAAGGCAAGTCTATTCAATGGGAGTTTTGGATGTGAAGTTGGTGTGATATGAACACCAATAAATTTATCTAAAAACGCTCAAACCTTGTGATTTTGTCTGCCAAACGCGAAAGCCAAATGATCACTAGGCTCTAACCCGTTGACATGTTTCACATGATTGTTTCAACGAGGAAACAAACAAGATGGCTTTGCAGCTGAATTTCGTAGCAAAACATGTTCTATAACATGTGCATTGCAGAACAGAAACACGACAAAATGGAGAAGGAAAAACCTGCGGAAGGTCACTTCATGCAAGGAATCTCATCTCATTGTGAACAAGGGGAATCGAATGTTGCATTACAACAAAAGAGAAAGCACGCAGAAACGTTAAAGTCCGCAACACAAGAAGATAATGGAAGGAAGAAAGACTGAAAAGAAAAAAACCCATCTTTTGAGAATAGAAATGAGAGAGATATTAATTTACTAAAGCATGAAATGAAAAGCGGAAGAAGCACAGAAAGAAACAGACAAAAGAAGTACGTTGTGGAATAACCCTTTTTCTTAATTTATTCCCTTTGCTTTTAAAAAAGGGTAAGTAAAATATGTGACACATGAAAGCAAAGCAACGAAACCTTGCAGCACCACCAGTTTGTTTAGGCATCACTTTGAAGTTTTAACAGGCAAAAAGCACTTTTGGGAAGAGCTAGAAAAGAAGGAACGTGACAGATTTCAGGTTGAAGAAAGTAACGTCTTTATTTTGGAAAATTAAGAACCAAAGTTACCAAACCCGTTTCATAAAAAAAAGTGAAAACAAATGTGAAGTTAATGTGACGTGCATTATGGAGGTGTGTGGTGGTTTGCAATGAGAAAAGAAGTAATGGGGACATGAGTGTTAAGTGTTTACCTAGAGAGTGAAGTTGTTGTGTTGTTGTGTGTTAATAATGATGTGTCTGGTTTGGTTCCATTGCTGTGCGAGTGGAAGATGGGTAAGAAAGGAAGGTGAACAATGAATGGTGAATGGTGAATGGTGAATGGTGATAGGGAGAAGCTAAAAGAGAAAACAGAAGAGTACAGTCTTTGTCACTTCACGAAGGAAGATTTAATCGGTTTTAAGTATGATTCTGCGTCCGCACACTGCACTCCATGTGTCTTACCCGATTATTCTCACCTGCTCCCCTTTTTCTACTTTCATTTTTTAAATATTAGATTAATATTGCACATTTTTTCAAAACAAATTTATTTTTCTAATAAAAACAGATTTACTCATGTCAATCAAAAGACTATTGTAAAATACATGATGAAATATAGATAGACTTTAAGGCCAGCGTTTGATTTTGTAAATTTCTTATGTAGAATAAATTGTAGTTTTAGTTTCTTTTTTATAATATTTAAGTTTAATTGTGCCTTTTACAACACAAGTTTTACGTTTTTTTTTTATAATTTTACTGTGTGACTTTTGAAATTATATATTTTATCATTTAACTCTTACATTTTAGCATAGTTTATTATTTTATTAATTAGTTGTTTCTCTTTGTTAATTGTCTTACATGAGACATGTTAGAAGTTTATAATATGAAATTTAGTATAATATTAAATCCATGAAACTTTCTTACTTAATGAATTAATTTTTTGGATTAAATTTTCTTCATGTGCTCAAGTTAACCGATGAGGTAACCCCAAGCGCGTGGTTCAGCGGTAGGGGTTGATCCACGCTTAAATAAGGTCAAGGGTTCGAATCCTGCCTTGTGTATGCAGCCGCATTAAATCTTGGGGCCAGTTATCCCACCTTTTGAGGTGCCTCCAACGTAGCGAGGAGATTAGTCACTGCTATCGGCGGTGGATACTCCAGGAACGAACAAAAAAAAAAGTTAATTGATGAGGTAACATGCTATGTCACATTGATAATTAACATATTTTATTATTAAATATTGTATCATATTAATGATTAATTAATAATTAAATCAAATAGTTATGAAATAATGAAGTGTGTGAAATTTTGGAAGTTAAGTCATAAAATGTATAATTTTAAAAATTAAGTAATAAAATTAAAAAAAAATTCATAAATCATGAGTAATAAAATGTGCAATTAAATTTAATATTTAATAACAATTATGGTTCATGATTTTTATCTTTTGATATTGTTGTTCGTTAAAATTGTAACGTTAAACATTACTTAACATGACTTAAAGTTATAATTTTTAATGATGAAACATTTAACCACTAAATAAAAATATATATCTTATATTGGATGATTAAAAGTGCATATTAAAAATTTTAATTAGTGATATAATGTATTGATATAATATGATAATTACTAATATAAACTAATCATATCAACAATTAATTTAGTAAATAGTATCATATCATTAATAAGTTAATAATGTCAAATAATTAATTTATTAGAGTAATAAAATTTACAATTTTTTAAAAGTTGGATGACAAAATATACAAATTCAAAAGTTTGATAATAAAATAAAATATAAATGGAAAAATATGCAATTAAAGAATTCGCACTAACACTAAATAATATCGTAAATTATCACATATATGCTTGTTGACATTATAAAGGAGTGTAGTATGCGAAATTTAATCCCAAATTCTCTACTACTGAATTCCTCTTAATTTGTTTCTTGCTTAATCTCTTGTTATATTAAATAATGGGTCTTTGTAAATATAATTGTGAATAAAATTATTTACTTGAGTAATATAATTGTGAAACAATCAAGTATATGAGATTATGAGGAGGTGGACTTGCACTCGTTGTTTAACTAAAAGTTCACATTAGTACGTTTGTAATGGGCCAACAAATATTATTTTCTTTTGTTAGCATTTTCTAGTATCTTCAATTAAAAAAAATTTAAGACCACTAATATCAAATATGTTTACAGAAGTTTAAATTTGTTTCAAAATTAATATAATATTTTTTAATTTATTATCATTTAAAATTTTCAAATATTGATTTCAAAGAAACAGGTTCAAAGAGTTTTTATATTTAACTTTTAAAAATAAATTGTTAATAAGAGATGAAAAAAATCACAATATAAATACAAAACAACTAAAACTAAAATAATTAATCTTTAACTGAATGTGTGATTTCGTCATTATTATTTTCATTCAAACATTTTTAATAAAACTATTTTTATAAAATATAGTTTCTGTACTCAATTTAATGTAATTTTTTGCTTGAATTAAGAAAATGTAAAACAATTTTTTTTATAACTAATAAACTTTCTCACAAAATCTATACAAATATTTATGGCTGGAAATATTTTTTTAACTACACAAATGATAAGTTGTTATTTTATTCCTGAGACAATTTTTATTTGTAGAAAATTATGCATTTTATAAAATATATTATGTTTTTCTTCTGCGAAAATATTATGGATTATTTCTCATCTCATTTTTTTTTTTTGAATCTATCTTAATAAGGATTAAACTATATTGTATAAAACGTGCATTCAAATTTTATTGATAATATTTTTTTTTTCATGAAAATAATTTATGTAATATTATAAAACTAACATAAGATTGTATGTAGTCGCGTTAAATCTTGGGACCATCTATCTCATCTTTTGAAGTGCCTCTAACCTACGAGATTAGTTATCGCTATCGACGGTGGATATTTCATGGACGAAAAAAAAAATAAAATTAACAAGCAAACACTATTTAGTGTTTACAAGACATTTTTTTATCAACAATATAAGAACTTTGGATGAGTTCCAATCATTTAACTCGACTTAATTTTGATTTATCAAAAAATAAGAAGAAAAACGAAGAAATGAAAACCTTGTTGGTGAATTCGAATGATTCAACTCCCTTTTTAGTTTGAGCATTCAATATTATAGGAAATTACTTATAAGAGGTCTCCGTGACGCATACATTGAGTGTGATTTACGTTTTCATTGTAGCCTTTTCACTATATAATCTTATATATCCACTTTGATTTAATGCAAGGAAACATTAACACATGGTCCTTAAACCATCATAAAGAGAGAAATAACACAAGAACCGCAAAAGTTGAGAGTAAGTGTCTTTTTCCCTATGGTACGTTTCTTAAAGGTAACGGTCAAAACCTATATGAATCGATATCCTCTTCATTTTATTTTATTTTTATAGCTGTGAGTATATATAAATGAGATTAAATGTTAATCACTTTTTTATAATTAACATTTAATATTATTTATACACTCAAATATAACACATAGACTTTGTTATCAATTTTTGTTACATTACATTTTTAATTATGTAAGTTGAATAAAGACAGCATTATTTATATATAAATGTATTTTATTTTAAAAAAATAAATTAGAATAAAATACAACTCCATATAGAATTTAAATTCAAGTCATTTACTAATTCCTTTGAATATTTTTAATGTTGTACAAATTACTTACCTCATCTTCAATATGAGACGAGAGAAGTTGGATTCAGTCTTAAATTCTAATTAGTAATAACAAAGAGATTTAATAAATTTCGTCACCCTTATCGAAATGGATGTTTTGGAGTTGATTTTGAAATCCCAAAATTAAGGGAGGCTTATAAACGGTGCAGAAAGTAATTTACGTGAAATCTACGTGTGTGCTTGTTGCACCTCCCATTGTTTATCCACTAGGCACGTGGTTACTAGATCACAAAAGAAAATATCTTACCATTAAGGGTACTTTTTTAAAGGTACACATATTTTGTCAGTGCCAAAATCCCTAGGTCACATTTGATATTTCAATTAACAAAGAGTATAATTGAAGTTGGTGGGACATAATACTTTTCTAATAATGTCGCTATTTAATATTTACACCATTATCATTTGTGCAAGAATAAAAAATACGTAGAAAAAAAAAAGTTTGACCATAAAGTCCGGGGAGCTTTGAATTACCATGCAGCTTCTGCTGAATTCTTTTTCTATTTGCATGTCCACATCTAGCTAGGCTTGCCCCACACTTTTAGTCACATAATAAAACATTTATTTGGACCGTTTGGTTTGATTTTTCATGAATAATAGTTTTTAAACATGTATTTTTTCTTCGTATTGTATCATATCACCTAATAATTATTTGAGGTGTCTAACACTTGTAATTTTTCATCACTCATATTCTAGATCCAACGAACAAGAATGATCTAACGTCTTCCACGCCCCAATCTTAAAGTATTTAGAAAGGGCACAGCGTGATTAACGCTCCCATGGCATTTATTATTAATATTTTGAAAATTTTGTGTCCACATATAGAATAAAACAAATTATCCATAGTAGTAGTACGATGATGCAATGAAAGTGTGGTTGAGAGGGTGAAGGTGAAAGGGACTCTCCAGCAACAATTTAACTACCCATATCCATGAAAACCCAATAACAAGAGTACTTTACTGTTTCAATTCTATGGCAGAAGGATATTTGTACAACTTTTTATACACCATGGCCCATCAAAATATCCAATAACAACACCAGACCCAAATCTTAAGTTGCTCAAACCATATACATATATATATAGATCAATTGACATAAGGAAAATTAATGATGAATAATTTACATAAGAAATTAAAATAAATTTTACATAAGTATAATATAACTATTAAATTATTTAATTTTTATAAGATAATGTAACTATTATCTTATTAAATTAAATATTTTCTAATAAAAAATTGTTAGTGATGACCATTTTGTCTGCTTCTTATTAAGTTATTGCAAAAATAATGTGTATTTACTTTACTTGTGATGATTCAATGATCCCCCACTTCCCGGACTACATCTATATATAAATAAGTATCCAATGAAAGCTATTTTAGATCTACTTTTGTGAAAACTATAAATGTTTTTTTTTTAATTTTATTAAAAAAATACACATGTATGAAAAAATATCTTGTGAAATTATAAAAATATTTTTAAAAATGATTTATTTAAAAATAAAAGAAAGTAATAAATATTCTCATATGATAAATAAATAATAAAATAATAATTTTTTAAAGTAATTATATTGAATGAAGTTATTTTATTAAAAGTTATTTGCCAACAAAATCCATCCATCCATCCATCTATCTATATATATATATAAAGAGATTTGTTTGTTCCAGGAGTAAGTCAACCTAGACTTACTTTGTTCAATAAATCATGTTCTACATCAAATTTCAACGATTCAACCGTTGAATTTAAAATTCTTAATGCATAAATCAAATCTGCATATTTTTAAAAAATTTAAAAATCATTTGATACTTAGTTTCATTAGTTCAAATCATTGTATAAAATAATTTTATGATTATCCGTCAATTTGAATTAATAAAATAAAGTATCAAATAATTTTTAATTTTTTAAAAAATTTGCAGACTTTATCTATATATTAAGAACTTTAAATTCAATGGTTAGATTATTAAAATTTGATATAAAACATGAGTTATTGAACGAAGTAAGTATAGATAGATTTACTCCTTAAGTAAGCGGATCCCTCATATATATATATATATATAA